TTTTTTTTAGTTTGTAATTAAAAACAGATCACGTTGATCGATTAAGTAGTCAAAACAATATTTCGTAAAGTGCGATTAGCGCTGAGAAACGTAAATCGAGCACGCGGCTTATCTCCGTGGCACTTGTATGACTCACTAAAGTAGACGATAAGTCGTATAAATAAGTCGTGAAAATTATACAGTCTCGCTCCTGTTATCTTGAATCCCAGCCAGCGACAAATATGTTAAGAAAAAAAAACAAAAAAACAAAAAAAAAAAAACTTGCCAGTAAGATCAGAGGCCTCGGCGATGAGGAACGTGCTGTAGGACATGAGCACGAACAGGGCCGACTCGAGAAGCGGGAAGTCGCGCACCCGCGTGTACTTGGTCATCAGGGCCGTGGTGCAGCCCATCGTGGCGCCTATGAACAGCGACAAGCTGAAGATACCGACAAAGTCGCCCAGGGCCTGGAAAAACGCCGCCGCTTCGAACGCGCTCGAGCCTTTCGTGGCGTAACGCTCGCCGTAATTCTGTATAGCACTGGACAAAGTTTGTAGACAACAACTTAATATTTTTTGGAATTTTTTAAATTATTTTTTTGATTTTCACGCAGGTTACTTCATCAAACGAAGCGATGCTATGATACAGGGTCGACTCACCCGCTAAGTACAATGGCCACGGCGTCGTTGAGCACGCTCTCGCCGAAAACGAGGGCGTACAGATTCACATCGACGTGGAGATCGTTAAAAATGGATATAATGGTGAGGGGATCGGTAGGCGATATGAGAGCGCCAAAGTACAAAGTGTCCAGGAACGTGAACGACGTGGAAAAGTTTGGGATCAGCTTCAAAAACGCGTACATCAGCGTCCTGGAGTAGAAAAACAAAAAAATTAATGTGGGTGTATTACACCTACAGGCACTGGGTTTCGTTCCCAGACGATAGGTATACACTTACCCGATAACGAAAGACGATACCGTGGTACCGATGAGCGCGAACATCAGTATCGCCCCGAGGTTTCGAAAGAAGTATTTCTGAAATTTATAATGAATTACGTCACAATGGCAATCAGGATCCAGTCGATTTATTTTTTCAACGCTTGGTTGCGAGGTGTCAAAACCATTTGCACTGCGGATGAAATGTAAATTGTTTTTCTTTGTCATTTCGATTGAGTTAAAAAAAAAAATTGGTGAATTCATGAAAACCATCGAAACAGTTTCCCGCGTAAAAATAAATTAATAAAGTAATAAGGGACCTAAAAAAAATTCCCTACTTAAATGACACTTGGTCCATGGAAAAAAATTCTTTGAATTTTTTTTCTTCTTTTTTTCTTTCATCTAGAAGCATTAGAAACGACGCTGGAAACTTTCAACGGCACTATTTATCAGCAGTGACACGAATTGAGTATAGACTGTTGTTTTATTACTTTAGAAAATATTTCTCCTACACGCAAATGGATTTACTCGTCGCAAACAAAACGGGCGCATTTGCACTCGTTGCATATTTAGATACACATGTTTATCAACTTACCCTCTTTAAGCTGTAGCCGGCGTAAAAAATTATAGGAGGCAATATTATGTTAAAAAATATTTCTGGATCGAACGTGGCCTGCAACGTGAAGAAAAATTCGAAATTAGTTTTTTTTTTTAAATGCTCCATAAACAATTTGAAGTTTAAAAAGCTTTAAAAAACGATAAATTCACGCTCAAGTAATTCAACAAAATATTAAATTGATTTAAAATTATCCAGGTAAGGAAAAAAAAAAATCCATCAACGGGGAAAAATGACGTGACTTTTTTTTACGAGGTATACACAAATATACCGGTAGCTGCGTGTGCATTAAATGTTACAATTTTGGGCTGCCAGCGTTCATTAGATGCAATATATAAACGTCCATTCAAATATCTACTGACAGCAATAAAGAGGTAACATACAGAATGGATGGCCAAAATTAAAAAAAAAATAAAGTAAAAAATTGTCATTTTTTAAGTGTAAAATAGTTAAAGATTGTTGGTTTTAAATTTTTGGATGATTCCAATCAATATTGAAATGATTCTGTTTTGATGAATAAATTATATCACCCATAAACTTAAATTTTGGTTTTTGTGTAATTTACAAAAAAATAACAAGTCGTGCATTTTATAATAAAAAAAAAAAAAAACAATAAAAAAACAAAAACAAATAAACAAATAAAGAAACCCATGCAAACACCCATAAAAAATTAAAAATATTAGTAACATAAATATAAGCATCAAGCAAAACAAGCGTTGAACCAAACATGAAAGATAGTGTAAACAGTAAGGAAAACAAAGGTGATACAGAAAATGAGGAATGAGACACACGATTTGACTTTCGAAATTTTTATGTAAACATACCGGAGCGCGTCTCTCCCGATGTATTTCCAGTTGGCCAAAGCCACCTTCGCCACCAGACTATCAAAAATTTCAATTGCAATTTTTATTTCTTTGTTTACCAAAGTTATTTAAATTTATTCTAATATCTATTTTTTTACGAAGTTTTTAGGTAGAGTGCTGGTTAAAAAAACAACAATTTTTTAGCTAATTGTAAAAATTGCATGCTGGAGATAAAATAATAGTACTAATTACTTCGTAAATTATTATTGAACTATTATAATGTCTATTATAAAAAAACAATGAAAAATCTATTAAAAAAAAGCTAAAAAAGCTATTGATCCAACTATATACATTATGATTGATGAGTCAAATAATCTCTTTTGTAAATTGAGCGTTAAACCATCAATAATAAAATTGTAGAAAAATATTGAGTAACCTTTGGCAAAATTCCTCAAATAATATGCACCCAAAAAAAAGCAAATGTTATTGTATAAAAAAGCAGAGACATGTGCAGTTGTTGGCGAATATTAACTCGACAAAATCTCGTGCGCAGGTGCCTTTGTTCTTTTTCTATAGTTTATAT